GTAGTATTCCAGCCTATTTGGGGAACTTAATCATGTGACACTTAGCCACTTGAATGTGAACAGAATTGGCAGCCATCACATCTGAGCAGACACTTTTAGAGCTACTAGATAGATCATTTCATTTTCTTTCTGCCGTGAGAATGGCACATCCTAGATGGTGACTGCTTCAAATTGCTTCTTTCATCCTAGAGGAAAAAGACAAGTGAAGTAGAGATGATCTAAAAATGTAAATGCCATCCAAGCAAGAAGTAAATCTACACTGTAAGCCATATGTAGTTTGTTGATATTACAATATACTGAGGAAGAGATAACTAACTGATACAGAAACTTGTACCTAAAAATGGCATGCAGCCATAGCAAAAATCCTAAAATTTATAGTTTTGGCTTCAGAGCTTTGCAGTGGAAGGCACAGAAACTCTTGGGAGAGACAGGAAAAATGGAGAAAGTTTGTGGAATGATGATATATTTAATAAATCTATCTCCTGCAATAACTTAAAAGGCCAATAATATACTCAGATTGTGACTGAAGTGACTTGGTTACTTTTGAAGAATTAAAGAAATTTGTACAAGACAGAAATGAGCTTAGAAATAAAGGTTAAAAGTAATAGAAAGAAAAAGTGGATGTAGAAATTTCAGGATTTAGAGGGTTGAAAGATGCAACTATTTTAGTTTGGTTTGTTGTTTTTCTTTAACCACTAACAAAAAAAATTGAGAAACTTTGAATAACAAAGGCGGTATTAAATTGACTCGCAGAAAAATGTTTCTGTTTGGACAAATGGCTTACAGGAAAAATGAACAAAGAGTATTGTTTTTCTGCTGAAACCTGATAATATCAAGGTATTGATATTATTTATTTAGACAATTAAGTCGAGAGAGGAATGAATTTCAAAACAAATCATAGATATGTTAACTGGAACATTAAGCTTATTAGAATCATGTAGATGAAGATTTTAGAGGTTTGCAATGCTAAAATACTCCTAGACGGGACCAAAAATCCAAAATACAGCAGAATAAACAAAACAAAACAAAATGTGAGACGTAAAATGACACTAAGCTCCAAGCCACCTATGGGCAAGATGCATCTGTTAAACTAATTAGCCCCCAAGAAGGGTACACAATGTGATACTATCTTTAGATGTGTGCAAGGAGGGTAGAAAAGGAAGGATCTGTGTGAGGTGGAACCATAACTGGAGAATCTGGTGATACAATCATGAAGCAGAAGTAAGGAGCGATCCTGGGAGATTCCCTGTCCCCAAAGCAGGAGGGCACTCCGAATACCTAACTGGAATAATTTCAGGTTTCTTAAGGATCAAGTATTTTGCGCCTCCCATTCTTGTCCTTTTCTGATGCAGTGTTTATTGAGGTTAATGTGTCCCTGTTCTACTACTAACGTTTGGTATGCAGGTCACAGAGAATTTTTCTTTGTGGTTCAAACGTTTCTGGATCAAGGAAAGCCATGTTCATAATGTAGAGACAAGGATAAGATCCTACACTTGGGTAAGACTCTAATGTCATGGTTGGTCAGGACTTTTTGAGATGCTATCTTTGGAGAAGAATGTGTTTAGTCTGTGTACAGACGCAAGTGAATATGTGTGACTAAGAGGGTGAGATAATAATAGACCGCGGTGTTGCCAGTCATTCTCTTCCTTTCAGTAAAAGCACTCTACGTACCCTCTTTTTGCCAGGTGACTGGAGGTGAATCCCCACGAGAGGCCTTTACTTCTGACCCCATGATATGAGGCCCAGCCATATGATTTAATTTGCCCAATGGGATAAAGGCTGAAATGCTGATACCAGAGCAGAAATTTATAAGCCATGAAGTAGTCCAGCCATTCTCTTTTTCCTCTGCCATGGGAGTAGTATTCCCAGAAGGCAGCTGCTCCTTCAGCCTGGATCCTGTAATGAGAGGCCAGGAAGAGCCACCTCTGGCACACAGCCAGTAGGAAACAGGAGTGAGCAACAGCCTGTGGTAGTTACAAGATACTGAGCTTTGAAGGGATCACACAGGAAAAGCTGAGCATTACATAAATATTTTAAATTATTTTGCCGTTTCTACTTTTCTTTGGTAAAGGTATAAAAGATTAGTAAAGGCATTTCACAGGGTGATATTAAGGAAAATAGCTAGACATTACCTACAGTAATTTGGAGGCATGACAAGGCCATATAATGGAGAAAAAGAGGTCAAAGTCAAGATATGGCCTTTGGGTTCTTAATTCTACCAAATCACGTGAGAGAATGTTTACATGAAACCCCCAAAGTGAAGGTTTCATCCTTTCAACTTTTATACACTCACTATCACTCACCACTATCAACATTGATGAGCAAGCCTATTACTCTATTGAAATGGCAACCATTTCCTTGACCAGAAGATGAAACCTTCACTCTTCACCTGTTTTCTTCAAAACAGTCTCAGCTAATCAGGATTCCTTGCTTTATGAGTTGGACACAATTCATCTTTGGCATTTCCATTTCTCATGCATTTTGCAAAGCAGGCTTCCTACTATTTTCCCATTTTGATAATGGGGTTTGTAAATGAGATTAACTTATCTACTGTACTGAACTTGACACAAAGAAAACTAGAATAAAATATTGGTCTTCAAGTCTAAAGATTCAAATTGTGCTATTACAACACTACCCAAGAATGTACATTAGGAAAAATTATCAGAGGCTTTTAAGGTGTCAGAAAGGGCAGGATCTGTATGGATAAATTATGAGAATTTTTTTCTTTTTCTTCTATTAGGCCAAAAATATTACCACCAGCAATCTGTATTGTTGAGCCTAAGCCTTTGAAATAAGAAACTCTAAAACTTTCTAAATCATTTCCATGTTTATATTGGTCATATTTTTATGTATTTATGTTTCTGAATATGTCTTAACTCATTCAGATTTCCATTTTGGTTATCTGTGCATTATTACACCAAACCTGCATTTGAGTATGTACATTGTGAAATTTTAATTGAAATTCATTTTCAATATAAACAATATGTATTGTGATGTAATTTTCTTAGAGTAACACTGTTTTAATGTTATTTGGAAATATTAGTAAGTATGAATATTAAAAGGAAAATAATTTTCAATATATTACCAAAAATGAAGGCTTCTAAGAAGAATAAAGAATTGCTATGGTAATGTCAATGCATGATTTATTATTCCTGCTTCATAATAACAATGATAATATCAGATATTTCTGTAGCCCTTATTATATGCCAGGTATAATTCTAAGATCTTTATATGTGTTAATTACTTAACTTTAAGACAATCCCAAGATGTGGTTATTTAACAGATGTATCTGTTTTCTAGGTGAGGAAATTTAGGCACAGATAAATTGAGAAACTTGTCCATGGACACATAGCAAATAAATAGTGGATTTACCAATCCCAGGCAATCTGAACCTGAGCCTACTTTCAGTATAATATAATAGACTCACAAGTGCCAATGTTAAAATTTTGCTGACTATGCAGATATTCTCAGTCAGAATTCTACTAGTGTATCATAAATCATAAAACTTTAGAATTTTTGCAGGGAAAAAAAATTCATTGGTTGGATTTGGTATTCAATTCCTAATCTAAACCTTCATATTTTGGTGGAGATATTCACCAATATTTGTGTTAATTTCCATAGGATATAGTCTTGTTATCTTCAGTTATTTGAAGTTATCTGCAGTTACTGGGTATTTTTTTTATGGGTTTACTCCTTAAGTTAGGAGACTCTACAATGAAGGGAGGCTGATTTATTAATCTTGCTGACTGTGTATCATCAGTGCCTGCCTTTGCAGCCTCTTGTTAAGTAAAAGACACTGTCTCATTACTTTATGTAGTGCATTTTTCTCCAGTTTCTAAGTCATTGCTAACATCTGGTGTGATGGGGTGCTTTTTGTTGTTGTTACTGTTCTCTATTCATGAACCAATCATGGCACAGTCACAGTGTGATCGTTCAGTATCTCAGGGCAGCCCCTTCTGAACTCTCAAGATGTTCTGCCATCCAAGCAAGACATATGTAAGTATTATTACCTATCCAAACCCATTCTGAATTTTCTGTTGCTCTTCTTTACTTCAAAAATCATCTCCTCAAACTTGTGCAAGGCACAAAATGCTTTGTATTCTATTTTTCCTTCATCATCCCTGTAGCTATTTTCAGTATCTTTCATTCGGTTTCTGCTCCACCCATGCCTTCTGTTCCATACTTTCTTCATCTCTGTTTGAAATGATGGAAGTTTCAGAGGTCTTAGGAAGTTATATACATGGAATTCCATTCATTTAGTGCAGAAATGCAAAAGGCACTCAAAACATGTTTATAGAATAGATTTGAAATGTTCAGCCAAGGTTATGCTATGATAAAATTAACTTAATCTAAACTCATTTGAAGAGGATAGGGTTTAGATAAATTGGTAGAATGTATGAGTTACCTAAGACTATTTAACAAGTTTAGCAAGAGGATACTGTTCCATATTTGACTATCAGTGTTTTAATGGACTTAAAATGATATGTATTAGATATCCCTAGGTATAAAAATACATTCCATTATAAAATAACATTCTCATCACACATTTGGCAAAATTGTTTTGAAATAGAAACAAACCTTTTACTTATGGAATATATGAAGAATATGTTTTTCTTTGTAAGGAATGAACATTTGCATAAGACTAGAAGAATGGGATTCATGTAGATAAATTATTTAAAAAATATAATGTAGTTAATTCATTGAAGTTCAAGGAAGGATTATCAATTTTCATGATTAGGCCTTGAACTCCAAACCAGTCCCAGCAATGAATAGATTTTTATTGTAGATAAGGCATGTCATTAACGATGAGATAAATCTTAAATAACCAATACTCAGCAATTCAGAACACAGTATAAAAAAACAGAAACAGCCCGCCTCTCGGGCTGCGCGCAGCTGCGGGCCGTGGTCACGTGAGTGCGGCGCGAGGGTGCGGGGGGAAGCCCTGATTTCTGGGCGGCGGAAAGAGACGCGGCCACGTGAGGACAAGGCGATTTGAAAACACGCTCGGGGAGCGAGAGGCTGAGGCCGGTGGCTCACGCTGTCATCCCGTGGGGTTCTGCTCGGACGCTCTCCTGCTGTGCCTCCACGTCCTGGTCCCGGCCAGCCTCTCAGCACTCAAGAATGACCAAAAAAAGAAAACGCCAAGATGATTTTCAAAAAGTAAAACTAAAAGTTGGTAAAAAGAAGCCCAAGTTAGAAAATGCTACTGTTACAAACTTTAAAACAAAGACTATACATCTGCCAGAGCAACCTAAAGAGGATGTAACACTTCCAACAAACAACAGAAAACTGAACATAAAGGATTTGCTGTCACAGATGCATCACTACAATGCTGGGGTTAAACAAAGTGCTCTTCTTGGACTTAAAGACCTTTTGTCTCAATACCCATTTATAATTGATGCACACCTTTCAAATATATTAAGTGAAGTGACTGCTGTGTTTACAGATAAAGATGCTAATGTACAATTAGCAGCAGTTCAACTTCTTCAATTCCTGACCCCCAAAATACGAGCTGAACAAATTTCTCCATTTTTTCCTTTGGTAAGTGCCCATCTCTCTAGTGCCATGACTCACATTACTGAAGGAATTCAGGATGACACTTTAAACGTTTTGGACATTCTGCTGGAACAGTACCCAGCTCTAATTACTGGCCGTAGCAGTATATTGCTTAAGAATTTTGTAGAACTTATTTCTCATAAGCTGTCCAAAGGACTGGTAAATAGAGACAGATCCCAGTCCTGGATACTTTCTGTAAATCCTAATCGGAGACTCACTTCTGAGCAGTGGAGGCTGAAAGTCTTAGTGAGACTCAGTAAATTCCTTCAGGCCTTGGCAGATGGATCCACTAGGTTGAGAGCAAGTGAAGGACTTCAGGAACAAAAAGAAAATCCCCATGCCACTAGCAACTCCATTTTTATCAACTGGAAGGAACATCCAGGTTTATGAAAATGGGGTTCACAGCCAAATGTCAGTTCACAGTTCAGGCTACGGTACCTGGTTGGAGGAATAAGCAGTGTGGATGAAGGCCTGTCATCTACTGAAAACTTGAAAGGATTTATTGAGATAGTACTTCCATTGCTAATTGAATGCTAGATTGAAGCTCTCCCTCCACAGCTTGCTGCTTCTGTTGGAAAGAGTGTAGAACGAGAACCTCTTCAGATTATGCAGCAAGTTCTTAATATTACTTCCCTTCTCTGGAAACTCTCTAAGCAGCATGATGAAACCCATAAATTGGAGTCATGGCTTCGAAAGAATTATCTTATTGATTTCAAACACCATTTTATGAGTAATTTCCCATATGCCTTAAAAGAAATAACCAAGCACAGAAGGAAAGAGACAAAAGCATCAAGCAGTGCACGAGTCTCTCCAATAATGTGGATCATCTCTTACTGAATTTAACACTATCTGATATCATGGTCTCCCTGGCAAATGCCTCAACTTTGCAGAAGGATTCCAATTGGATAGAAACAATCAGGAAATTTGTGACAGAGACCCTTGAAGATGGCTCTAGGCTAAATAGTAAGCAGCTGAACAGATTGCTTGGAGTATCGTGGAGGTTAATGCAGATACAGCCAACCAGAGAGTCTACGGAGTCTCTCATCAAGGCAGTTTATACATTATATCAGCAGAGGGGCCTTCTCCTTCCAGTTCGACATTGTTACTGAAGTTTTTCAGTAAAATCTATCAGAAAGAATAACTGAGATCTTACAGAGTCAGGTATCGTAGTAAAGTGTTATCTCGCTGGCTTGCTGGTTTACCATTGCAGCTTGCACATCTTGGCTCCCCAAACCCTGAGCTCTCAACACAGCTTATTGATATTATCCATACAGCTGCAGCACGAGCAAACAAAGACCTGCTAAGAAGCTTACAAGCCACTGCTCTTCAAATCTATAATCCACAAGAAGGCAGTGTGGTGGTTCGTTCTCCCAGCAGAGTCTCAGGAGCGCTTGGTCCAGCTGGTGTATTTTCTACCCAGTCTGCCTGCTGATTTGCTTTCTCGGTTGAGTCGTTGCTGTATTATGGGAAGACTCAGTTCAAGTTTGGCTGTCATGCTTATTGGGATACTGCACATGAGGTCATCATTTTCTGGCTGGAGATACTCAGACTGGCTGATAAGTGATGTGGACCATTTCAGCTTCTTATTTTCAACACTTACAGGGTTTTCAAAAGAGGAGCTGACTTGGCTTCAGAGCCTTCGAGGAGTTCCTCAGGTCATCCAGACACAGCTTTCTCCTGTGCTTCTTTACCTTACGGACTTGGATCCATTTTTACACCATTGGGATATAACAGAGAGACAAGCTGTGGGGAGTCTGTGTATCCATCCTGGCTCTTCTGTCTCGAGTCCTTAGGTTGATGCTGCAGAGCCTGCGAGTAAACAAAGCTGGGCCTGAGGAGCTGCCTGTTGTGGGCCAGATGCTTCGCCTGCTGCTTCAGCATGCACCCCTCAGGACTCATATGTTGACCAATGCCACCTTGGTGCAGCAAATCATCAAGAATGTCACGACTCTGAAGAGTGGAGGTATTCAGGAGCAGTGGCTCACAGGCTTACATTATTGCTTCAATGTGTATATTATGGGGCATCCCCAGGGGCCCAGTGCATTGAGTACAGTATATTGAAGAGACATCATGACACCTCCTGTTTTAAATTGTTTATTCACAGCTATCTAATTTTGAAGAGAGACTGATGTAATAAATGTTTGTCATTAAAGGTGAACTTTTAAAGAAAAAAAAAAACCAAAAAAACAAAAACAGAAACACAGAAGAAAGAACAAAGTAGAGGTCATTGTTCCAGGCCATGAAATGAATGTGTGAGCTAGTTACTGAAAGATGGGCTTCAGGATAGTCTGGGAAGGGCTGGAGCCTGGAGTATTTCAGGTTAGCAGTTAGGTTCAGAGATACAAGATACCTTAGTTCCAGATAGACAGGAAAATTAGTGTAAAGGGAGCCCTAGGAAGTTCATATTTGAAGTCAGACATGCAGCTCATATCTGGGCTGTCTGTAACATAAGGGGCTCTAATCTTGGACTGTGACTCAGGTGCAGGAATCCAAGGGAAGTGTGCATGGACATTGTTGTCTTTGGATCCCTAATTTATCATAGACAGTGATTCACAACACTTCTGCCCACTAGCATCACCGGGTAGAATTTTAAAATATCTGCATGGCTGGAACCTACCCCCAGACCAATGAAACTGTAGTTTAATTAATTGTTCTGGGGTAGGACTTGAACACCAGTTTTGTTTTGTTTTTCTTTTTTCTTTTCTTCTGTTGGTTATTATTTGTTAATATTTCAGTTTTAGTTTGTTTGGTTTTGTGCTTTACATTGCTGGTGACTCTAATGTACAACCAGGATTGTGAGCTACAGCCTCACAGTACGTGCAGAGCACTGGGGGATTGTGCGGGGGAGCGTATTTCGATTCAGTAGGCTGGAGGCAGGGCCTGACGTCCTGCCCCTCTGTCAAGCTCCCAGTTGCTGTTGGTTCACACCTCACTTTGGGTTACAGGCTTATGATCCCAACATATAGACACAGGAGAAGGAAGGCCCCTTTCCAGAATCAGACAAGTAACCCTGATGAGCTCATATTTCAGAAGTAGGGCAAAAATATGGAAAGGGATGGAGCTTAGCCTTATGTTATCCATCCCATAGCATCCTAGGGTAAGTTTTGAAGTCAAGATTCACTTTACTGTTTCTGATTCTTTTAAAAAATACTGATCCCTCTATGGCATTTGACTCACTACTCATAGTCTCTGCAAATAGAAATATTTTGTCAAACTTTATTTTCTGAAGTTTGTATTATGAAGCAATAATTTTATTAGAAGCTATACATATGTTCTTGGATATGCTAATATTCTGCCTTTCTCTACCCTGCTCCCTATGCTTTGTACCCCAACAAAGTAATTTGTTTTCTATTTCTTTAATAAATACTTGAGCATCAGATGACAAAATTGTACTACACTTCTCATTCGAAGCATGAATTTTTAAGTGACTTTAGCAATGGCAGCTACCAGATCCATTTCAAAAGAAACATGCCATTCATCTATTTTTTTTATTGAAATCATTTTAAGGAAGAAATAATTGCCACAAAAATGTGATATAATGAATGATTTCTAGAGAAATCCAATAATAAATTTAGAGAGCAAGTTGTCAAAAAAGTAAAGCCTGCTTTTTTGGACATTGCTGCAGTGTTTCAGGGACTCCACTAGGGTTAAAAGGTGTTGATAAAATGCGTGTGATCCTCACTATGACACATCTTCAGTATGACAGGGTAAGCACTGACCTTCTAAATTCTGATATTTGAATGAACGAACATTCATTGTAATATATAAGTTAAGAGACTGTAGTAGACAGAATGGGAAGCTATATTAACACTTTTAGTCCATCTGCTTACGCTTTAAGGTTAATTGAGCAAAACAGTAATTCATTAAGTCTGTGTTACATGTCCACAAATTTCTTCAATGTTTTTTGCCCATACACTGTTGGAATTTGAGAAAATATGCATGCATCTTAATCGATTTGATCTCTTTATTTTTCTGAATGCTTTTGACTTAGGTGTATTTGTCTGATATTCAGGTAGCCTTTGCCAAATTTCCTTTGGTTAGTATTTGAATGCTCTTCATCCTTTCCCTTTCAGACTTATTCTCTCCCTATATCTTCCAAGTAAATTGAAAATATGTGTATATTTTTAAATAGTTTGAAAATCCCATACTTCTACTCAAAGTAATCAGTCTACTTATGTGTAAATTATTATTGATACATTTATTTATATACCCACAGCTATACTATTAATTTTCTATCTGGCTCATTTTTTTGTTTTTGTAATTGTTCCTTATGATTAACGAACTTTTTTCTTACTTTTCTTCAATTACATTATTGTAATTATTTAATTGTTCTCATATTGGTTACTATAGGTAACATTTGTTATTTTTACTATCGTAATTGTTACAATGCAATACTGCTAGAACAACAGAACTTTTACATTCTACTTACCTCAAATCCCCAACAATTTACAATGTGTGGTCATGTATTTTAGTTTTATTTATAATTTAAACCACATAAAGTATTTCAGTTATTGTTTTGTATCATCATCAGTTACTTATATTTCACTACATATTTACCTTTTTTTAAATCCCTCTTTCCTTCCTGCATTTTCATGTGTCTGTTTAGGACCTTTTTCCTTTTTCCTAAAGAAATTGATTTAGCTTTTCTTTTGGTGAAACCTTGATGGTGGCAAATTATCTCTGTCATAAATCACCTCACTTACCTTCCCTTTTGAAAGGATATTTTTCCTACATATCTAGGTTAACAGCTACTTTCTGTGAGCAGTAAGATGCTGTTCTGTTGTTTTGTCTTTCTTAATTTCTGTGAATCAGTCATCTCTCAACCTCTTTGTGGCACCTGTGAAAATAAAATGTCCACTTTTTCTCTATCTGTTTTTAATATTTTTTAGTGTTTTTTTGTAATCTTGGTGCAACTTTCTTGGTATTTATCCTTCTTAGATCTTACCAGTCTCCACTAATCTGTGAGTTGACATCTTTCAGTAGATTTGGAAATCCATTGCCATTATCATTGCAAGTCTCATGCCTCATTCTCTTTCTCCTCTTCCTCTATGACTTTCATTACAGGAATATTAGAATTTCTCAACATTTTGCATGACTTGTTTGCCTTGTTTGCTTTGTTCTTTTTTTCTTTTTCAGCCTTCTGTTTTCTTTATCTGCTTCAGTTTGTATATTTTCTGCTGCACTCTCCTCCCATTTATAAATGCTGTGTTTTTGTGCTTGCATCAGCTATGCAACCCAACCATTGAGTTCTAAATTCCATATAAATTATTTTTTAGTTAACTGTTTTTATATGTTCAGTATTCTATTAAAATCTCTTTCCCTTCATTTGTATGTTCCAAATTTATTGTCTAGTCTCTTAAACATAATAATTATGGATATTTAAAGTGTTTGCTTATTAATTCTAATATCTGTGTAATCTGTTGGTAAACATCTTATGTCTGTTTTCAAATGTTGACTTGCTTACATCCCTGCCTCTTTTCAGGTCTAGTATATAACATTTTTTATTGTATGCCAGATATTATGTATAAAGAAAACACAAAAATGCAAGGTACTGTTACCTTCTACCTTGGAGTAGAGGTTCCTCTTCCGTTGGTTAGATAGCATGGGGCTGAAACCTCAGAAAAACCATGGTGGATTTGTGACAAAACTTGTTTGTATTTTTACTAAGACACATTCAGTCTTCTTGTTTGCCTTGTCTATTCAGCATAGCTCTCTTTAGATTTTGATTGAAAGCCTGGGTTTTTCTCTCTGTCTTTATCTGTTTGAGATACAGGAAACTGAGTTTTACCCTCAAGTGTTTCCCAGCCCAACTCTCAATCTCCTAAACCCACGAAGCATTGAAATCTAGCAGATGTCTTAAAGGAGGAGGCGGACATATGTTCGAAGTAATCTACTCTCCTAGCAGGTCTTTGTTTTTAAAGATCTATAAGAATCTAGATGTCTTATCCTGCTTTTTAGAAACTTCCAAATAAACTCCCAATCCTTCTGCACAGTTGGAATTGTACACTACCTTTTAGGAAACACCATCCAGGTAATGAGTCTTTGCAGATTTCTAAATTGTTACTTCTATACCACTTGAATAGTAAGAGTTTTACTGGTTTCTCTTTACCCCATCAGAGTATATAAATTTGGACTAAGGTTGAATGAACACTGAACATCAATCCATGACTGGAAAATGCTCCGTATTTGGCAAATTCATGGAGGGAGAAATATCTGATGCACGTGAGGTCTCCTTGGAAATGTTCTCTGCTTTTGGGGATTTTAGTATGTCTAAATCTTGTCCCTTTGTAAAGTACATGTCTTTGAAAATAATTTTGAAATATATTCAGCTTTTTCTAATCGCTTCACTGAAAGCATTGCCTATTGCATCCTTCTCATAGTAGGAGCTCTCAGTATAGTCTCTTTCCTTTTTTAAGTCATATTAATTAAATGTGATTTAAATACAGTAAAATACACTGTCTTTACGTATGTGCTTAAGTGAATTTAGACAAATACATACAAACATGTAATCACCACCACAACCATAATGTAGGATGTAGACTATTTCCAGCTCCTAAAAAAGGTTTCCTGTGCACTTTTCCATCAATGGTTTCCTTCTGCTACTGGCCCCCAGCAGTCATTGAGCCCTCTTCCTATAGTTTTGCCTATTCCAGAGTGAAACATGGGATCGTATTGTGCTATCTTTTGTGCCTGGCTTCTTTCCTTGGTATAAGGCTTTGTTGATTCATCCATATTGTTATATGCATTAGTAGTTCATTTTTACAATTTGACTATTGCAGAGTAGTATACCATTGAACACGAGTTGATAGAAATTTGCGGTGTTCTACATTTGGTGATTATGACAAAAGTCCCCGTGCGGGGACATAAATATTCAGACTTCTGTGAGTAGTTTGAGGACATTTTGTTTGTTTCCAACTGGTATTTGATACAGATATTTAGGAAAGCATGTTTTTATTTTTCATGAGTGAATACCTAGGAGTAGAATTACTGTGTTGTATTAAGTGTATGTTTGACTTCATAATAAACTGACAAATGATTTTCCAACACAGCTGTGCATTTTGCACTACCCACTAGCAATGTATTCAAGTTCCAAAGTTTGCTCCACATTTTCAACACTCAGTATTTTCAATTTAATTGTAGCCATTCTAGTTGC